CCATTCGTCTCCCTCCCTTTTTTGGAGCAGGTGGTATGCGTTTCTGAGGTCCAGTTTAGTGAAGACAGTGGCTCCTTGAAGAGGTTCAAAGGCTGATGACAACAGGGGCAATGGGTATTTGTTTTTAACAGTTATTAGATTCAAACCTCTGTAGTCTATACAGGGCCGAAGTGAGCCATCCTTCTTCCCCACGAAGAAGAATCCTGCTCCAAGAGGTGAAGATGAGGGGCGGATGATGCCAGTTGCCAGGGACTCCTTAATATATTTTTCCATGGCCTCTCTTCCGGCTTAGAAATGTTGGAAAGACGACTGCTGGGCAAGGGGGCTCCAGGAAGCAGGTCAATTGCACAGTTGTGTGGTCTGTGGAGAGGCAGTTAACAGGCTTTAGATCTGCTAAATACCTCGGAGAGGTCATGGTAGTCAGCAGGAACGGAAGAGAGATCAATGGCTTCTATCTCACTTAACTCTGGTGGTTGTACACCTGGGGGAACAGCAGATCTGAGACAGTAAGAGTGACAATAAACAGACTAAGAATCAACATGCCTGCTTGTCCAATTGATGGTGGGATTATGAGAATGGAGCTATTCAAAACCCAAGGTTAAAGCAGAGTTGGCTGTGGGGAAAACAAAGAAAGAAATGTTTTCAATATGGTTCCCAGAAACAGTTAGTTGAATAGGAATAGTCTAGTGGGTTATCTGTGGCAGGTCTCTGCCATCCAAGGCGAAAACACGAAGGGGGTTCTGTAGAGGGATAAAATCTATTCCCATCTGTTGAGCAAAGGCAGTGTCAATAAGATGCTGTACACAACCAGAATCAATTGCAGATAATGAGAGGGATCTCTTATTTAACAATAGAGATGCGGGAAGGAGTAGACGAGGTGAGGAGGGAGATATCTTCTGGTCCGCCAGTAGCCCCCTCTCTACTGGTGGACCCTGGCTTTTCCCAAAAGAGGACATGTGGCTACAAAGCGGCCTGCTTCTCCACAGTACAGACAAAGCTTAGCCCGCATATGGTGCTGTGTTTGCTCAGGACTTAAGCGAACGCAGCCAATCTGCATAGGTTCAGATGGAGAAGGGTTGCTTGGATGCTTAGTGGAGTGACTGTTAGTTATCTGAATTTTTGAAGGGGCTGTTTTACAACCTCTTTCCTTAGAACATGCACGAATCTGGTTATCCAAACAGACTGAGAGATTGATTAGTTCTTCGAGTGTTTCAGGTTCATTAAGGGTGGCTAGTTCGTCCTTAATAGTGTCATTTAGTGTGTTAGACAAAACGCCCTTAAGGGCTGTTTTATCCCAGCCTGAAGCAGCAGCCGTGATGTGAATCTTAGAAGCTCACAAGATATTAGCGTCTTGTCAAAATCTTGGTTAAAAGTTAGTTTGAATTCCTTGATAAATTGATCATAAGTGCATCCATAATCAGAGAAAGAGGAAAATCTTACCTTGCCCATCTTGCCCAATCCAGAGCTAGGTAAGTAAGATGAGATAATATAAGAGATCTTTGTAGAATCCAGGTGAAACTTATTCGGTTCATGGTTGAACTGAACTAGACATTGCATGAGGAATGCACGGAGCGGAGCGGAGAGGATTTGCCAGCTGACACTCAGAATGGGGGGAAGCAAAAACTACTTGGTAAGCTTGCTGTGGGGCTAGCTCACCCAAGGCCCAGAGAAAAACAAACAGCTTCTGTTAGGTCGGTTACTCTGCGATTCAATTCAGTCTGCTGATTGACCAGTTCAACCAGGGTGTTGTCGTGTCTGGTCAAAGCAGCTTGCTGCTGGTTAATGGCTCTATGAATGGCTTCTGCGGGGTCAACGGTTTGGCCAGAGTGTTCTGTCTCTGTCATGATTTATCCAAAGATCTGACCCACATGCAGTAAACCAAAACAGAGAGACCAGGGAAAGATTTAACAGGTTTATTGTGAGTTGGTAGAGAGGAGTCAAGTACTGCTCTGAACACTGTCAAACCGGGACTGAAAAGTGAAGGGGAAGATTCTGCGGTTAGTTCAGGCTAAGTGGGAAATTTGTGTCTCTGATTTGAAGAAGGGAATAAAGGCAACATGACTCACTTTTCCAGAAAAAGGTTGCTTTCGTTGAATCCAGTCGGTGTGGGTTGTTCCAGTAATTGACTTGCTCGTTGAAGGGCAGAAAGGGTTTACCCAGGTTGTGGTGTTTCCTTGAGGAACGGAGGAGCTGACTGCCACTGCGGTACTTGAACGGTTTCTTGTGGAGATTAATCCCCTGCTCAGAGAGAAGCCCAAACAATCCTTGGGGAAAAGTAGATCCAAACCACCAGTTTGAATCCTCAGCTCACTTTGATGCTCAGAGAATCCTTCCAGGGGGGAGAAGGTCAAAAACATCCAGTTTGCAGGATGACTTCCTGCCGAGAGGCAAAGACAAAAAAACAACAAGGTTAAGACTCACGTGAAGAACAGTCAGTTTGACTCAGCAAAACTCAGCTTGGCTAGAGTACCCAAAACTGGCAAACACTCTGGCATCAAGGCAGTGGCAGTCAGCAGCTTAAGAGTCCTCCGGTAATGAGGCAACCATCTGCAGGTGTGTGAGGAGCCCAAAGAGAACCAGGTGCCACCTGGTGGTGGAGGGAAAACAAACAAAAAGCACAACCCACACAAACTGGATTTGAAGTAACAAATGCATGGCCAAGTTTTCAGCATCAACCCTGGACAGGAGATTTCTAATTTTTGCAATATTCCACTACTATTGACCCAATATGTTCATATCAGTGCATCCTTTCAAACGGCTTTGGTATTGATACATGAAATCAGTATTGCATCTGAATACAGGGTTCTAGTATTCTAGTTACTTTTCAGAGTACACATATTTTGACAACCCTCCTCCGTATACAGGTACACTGCTATGCATAAAGTAAAATACACTAATGACAGTTTAAACTGGATTTGTTCTTAGAAATGTTTTGCCACAAATTTGTTTTTTTAGCTGTTTTATTTTATAGAATGTATTTTTTGTTATTTTTACCAAAAATAAATTATGCAAAGACAGTTATTTCATTATAAAATCTCTTTTTTCCTTTTTTTGTCGACAGGCAATTCAGATCATGATTGGCCTGCTTAATATTGGCCTCGGCACCATCGTGAGACTGGCATACCGTTCTCCTTGGTATCTGGATTCCTATTACCCTATTGGATCTCTGGTGAGCAAATTGATGCATTTCAGATTGTGAGCCTTATGCTACGTTCAAACCTATCGCGCTTTAAGCAGCAGAAGCATCAGTATACGGCCGACGCACATCAAGGCGCATCAAAGGTCCTGCAGCGAGTCTAGAGCAGCAGGAGCAGCGCATCATGAGCTTCTGAGCATCTGAGGCACGTGGTGCTGGAGTTGGAAAATTATAAATTTTGCTGCTCAATTCGCCACATGAATCAATCAGAGAAGCTGATCTGGGAACAGGCAGGGAGACAGACACAGCACTGCTGATGCAGAGCGCTATGATCACTCCTATGAAACTGTTTATTAACGCCTAAATTAACTTAAAATGTCAAAACCTGCCTTTATTTTTCTGGTGCCTGCAGTTTGTACCACATACCTAAAAAAACAGTAACATCTCCTTCCAGCCGCCACCAACAGTAGGCGGGAAAAAAACAAGAGGCGAGCGGGTCTGAGGCAGCTGTATGGTGTCACATTTATTTCAAAGCGCCCACAAGCAAAATAAACATAATGGCATTTATGTTAAACTACTTCTGCGCATTGTTTATCTACCACCACACAGGAAAATCACACATGCACGAGAAAATGCTGCTCAGAGAGGAGAAAATCGCATCTTTTAATGCGCCTTGATTTGCATCAACCATTGACTTTGCATGTAAAACGGCTGCTTCTGCTGCTTAAAGCATGTTTGATTTTAACAAAGCATTAGAGAGAATCTAGAGGATGCATGAAAAG